ACATTCAGACCTAAGGATAAAGACATCTTTTAGGAAGAGTGGTCCAACATTGTCATCCTTACCCTTTACACCTCCTGATTATCCCTTGAACAGCTGGCTTAATGTAACAGTAATTTACAGTCCCCAGCTGGAAGGCTGCAAAGAATTCTTCATTATCCATAGTTCAGCAAATGCCAGGAGTGTTATTGAAGTGGTAATTGAATTTTGTGAACCCTCTGTGGTCCAGCCAGCATAGCATTGTGTGCAAGAATCATGTGACGTGCTGAAGATGAATACATGTCTAATAATAAAGTATCCTCAGGCAAAGCTCAATAACACCCAGCCAAAGAGAACATAATGATTTGATGATTTGACTTCTGATATTGAGCATTTTGGAATGGGATCCATTCAGAAGCATGACAATGTGTACCTACAAGGAGGTTATACAGAGCAAAATCTAATGCTTCCCAGAAATCTTTATCAAAAATTTAATTGAAATTTTCATCAAGTAGAGCTGTGCATAAGACAAATTATCCCCTTGTCTAATCAAAGCTATCCTTGCCTAACTCTTTAATTGAATCCTTGTGTGGGAAAAGAAAATTCCTGAAATAAATTTTGATGAGAGTTTTCAATGAAATGTGCCTTATCACAACTCCAGCGACCAAGTGCTTTCAAACTTTCACACTCACAGAATGACCTCACACTCAATGCTTTGCAATGCTGTTTCTAAAAGAGAACATTTATGGTTTGGGAAAATAGCTCAGAAAATCAGCACTGTTGGAATTGTTTTGGTTGCTGAAAATATACTTGGCCTCAGTGACTGTGGCCCTCTTGAAAGGAAACAGCTTTGGCTCTGAGCTTAGGCAGACCCCGGGTTTGAATCCTCCCCCTCTCGTGGCATGCACTCTGTCCTTAATAGGTCATTCAGCTTTTTGTGTCTTTTTCTCTTTCCTTGCAGAACTGAGCTCTATGGAGTCGGGGAGAAAGTGGGCAGACTGCTTGCTACATAAGCATGAAGACCTGAGTTTGGACCCCAAAGACCTGTGTTGAAAGCAGAGTTTGGCAGTGTACCCTTTAATCTTAATTCTGGAAGGTAGAAGATAGGAAGATATTTGGATTTGATGGGGAGCCAGTTTAACCAAATCAATGAGCTCCAAGTTCAGTGAAAGACCAGTTTCCCACAAATAGGTTGAAGAGCAACTTAAAAAGACACCACACACACACATTTGGATACACATGAATACACACACACACCCCACAAAGACATACACAGAGAAACATACACACATACACATGGCTCAATAATCTACATATACATTAAGTATAGAATAAAGGACTGTGCCTATTACACTAACAGTTGTCATTTACAAGTCTGCTACATGACAGGCACAATCAACTGCTTTGAGCACATACTGCCTTAATTCTGTAAGTTAGTATGTAAAGTGACTGACTTATCCTACTTTTGCTGAGACCGGCCTTACGTTTATAATGGAGAGTCTTGAATCTTCAGGATCCTTGTCAATTGAAGACAAAGTAGACCAGTCAGTTCTTCACTCATCAGAACATAGTCTCACTCTACAGGTGTGGAGACTGAGACTCAGGCATGAACTACCTAATATGTCAGAACTTGGAAAAAGTAAGTCTGGTCTTCAAAGCCAGGCTCAGCTAAGTCCCATGGCAGTGCTGCCTGGGTGCCCAAACTTGGCTCAGTCAGTGTTAGCTTCCTTACGATGTTACAAGAACATTTTGAACTTTACAAAACTTCATACATCAGCTCACATTTTTCTAACCTTTAATTATAATTTCAGGAATGCATGTGTGAGGGGGTGTTTGTATGTGTTGGAGAGTAAGAAATAGTGATAATAAGAATGAAAGTCTAAGAGTCTGGCATTTATTTCAAAGAATGTCCTGTGATCTGTCAATGCAGAAACCACTCATTATTTACTCATTCAGTCAATAGGTATACAAGGATGTATGTTGTGTGTAAGACACTTGGGGAGATACAAAGATGGGGAATACACTCAATGTGTCTGTAATAAGAATATGAAGAAATAAGTTATAAAAGTACTAGAACTCTGATAATAGGGACAAGTCCTAAAACCAACGTCCTGCAAACACATTGCCCAGTTGACCTTTTGTGAGAAGCTTGAACTACATGAAGCTACATGGGCCTACCTTCATGCTTCTAGTTCTCTCTCTCCCATCTCCCCTTCCTTCCTCTCTCCTCTCCTTTTTTCTCCTTTTGCATTAAGTTGCTGTTCTTGACTGGAGGGTTCATTCTCTTTTCCTTTGTTACTTAAGAGGAAATGTCAGCTCTTCAGGTACAACTGTAGAGTAGTCACTGGACGCCTTTATAGGGTAGTTTTATGTCAAGTTGAAAGAAGCTAAAGTCATCTGTGAGCAGGGAACCTCACTTGGGAAAATGCCTCTATAAGATTGGGCGATATGCAAGCCTGTAGGACAGTTCTTAATTAGTGACTGGAAGCGGGGGCAGCCCATTGTAGGTGCCCTGGGGTGGTGGTTCTGGGTTCTATATGTAAGTAGAGTAGAAGAGCATGTGGTGCAAGCTGGTAAACATTACCCTTTCATGGCTTCTGCATCAGCTCCTGCTCCAGGTTCCTGCCCTGCTTGAGATTCTGTCCTGATTTCCTCCAATGATGAACTATGATGTAGATGTATAAGCTAAATAAACCATTTCCTTGTCAACTTGCTTTTTGGTCATGGTGTTTCATTGCAGCAATAGAAACTCTAAGATGCTACCTCAAGCTGTATTAACCACTGGCTTGATTATAGGATGTATGTATTTATTTATGTTCTATATTCCATAGGATGTATGAGTATTTATCTTCTATATTCATTGTTTCTTGCTTTAGCTTTTCCAAACAATGTAAATATCAGAAAGAAGGGTAGCCTGTTTAATTTATTTCTTGTTTTGTCCTTAGCTGTGTTCCGAGGATTTAAAACAATGTTAGACACATAGACGTAAACTAAGCATTCACTAGATGAGGAAAATGAATTAATTAGCAACTGTTTTTGATTCTCAAAGGTGCAGCTAATTCTACATGAAGCAGTTGTCATAGGATGGACTAAAGAGACATCTTGATTCACCCTTATTTTTTTTTTCTAGGTACAATAGCATATCCCTTCTTTAAAAAAAATGTTGACAGTCATAAAAAATGTAAACATTAACTTTTTAAACCTTCAAAATATCACACTGTACAGTTTTTCCTAGATATCCTTTGATAAATGTTCATAGATATTATCTTAAGACAAGGTCTTGCTACAGCACTGGCTGGCCTAGAACTTGTGATCTTCCTCCCTCAGCGTCAACTGAAATTATAAGCATGCATCACCACACCGGGTTCTTACATATCTTCAAACAATAACAAATTCCTCTTTTTATAGTTCTATATTGTGTGTGTGTGTATCCTTTATCTTATTTTCCCACTCTAAAAATTTACACATTATGATTTCTCTAGCTAAATCTGTGTTGTTGGAACTCATTAGGAAAAACATGGTCTTAAACAGCTCCAAAGACAGAGAATCCTGCTGTGGACTCATTCAATAGCATTAACAATTCCAAATGAGAAGATTTTTGGTTTGCATGTCCCTGTGTTCATGTATGGAGGCTGGGAGTCAATGTTGAGTGTCTTCCTCTTTTCTTTTCCACCTTATGTTTTGAGACAGGGTCCCTCACAAAACCTGAATCTTGGTGTTCGAGCTTGACTGGCTGGCCAGTGAATCCCAGGGAACATTCTCTCCCCACCCTTCTCCACCAGTGCTGGGAACACAGGTATGCTGTGCCACACCCAGCTTTTCCATGAGGGCCTGGGATCCAAACTCAGATGCCTACACTTGTGTAGTGAGCTCTTTGCTCACTCTGAGGCTTCATGGTTCTTTCTTTTAACTTCCTGGTTTTTAAAAAAATGTTTTCCATGAGCAGCCAGAGGAGATGAGGGGTACTGACTTGATATTATTATTCAAATTAAATGACGCAATGAAAGCAAGGAGCTTAGTCCAATGTAAGTATGCAATAAATGTTGGATGGCCTTGATAATCTCCTGAGAATCAACTCCTAGAAGTCCAATTTGCTTCCCAGTTTATCTGGAAGGCAAATATAAACTAGCTGTAAAAATGGATGTGAAGGAGGCTATAGTCTGAGGAAATGAAGTTAGAAAAAAATCCTTTAAAAAAATTAATGGAAGACTGAGTTCATAATGCCCCAGCCAGAAACTTTGAACTATAAACGCTCGTATTAACTGTGGCTTGGCTTTTATATCACCCAGGTGGCAGTCCTGGTCATGTCCTGCTCTGCATCATCCCTGGGATGAAGGCTCCTTTCAGTATCCCTGACAGACTGAGTCCAGAATGTCTAATGGAAATCGTAATCAAGGCCTTCATATAGAACAGTAGTAATTGTATAGAACACACTCGCCCTCCTCTACGCCTTAGCATCTTACTCATAATAGCCAACATAACAACATAACATTTATGCTATTGCAAATGGTTGTTACCTATGTAATCACTCTAGGCCAACCACAGGGTACAAATTAGCTACAAAGTAATATTTGTTCTCCCTAATCTCTTCAGTCCAAGGCTGGTTGGTTAGTTGCATCCCTTGGTACAGTGGTTACGGACATGGATAGGTAATGGTATGTTTTTCCCGGCAGATGGCAAGGGTAAACTGACAAAGAAGATACAAATGATTTCACTTGGGTAATGGGAATGGCAGCTGGACTATCCTTTGATAAAAGACACAGAGAAGTGAATATTGACCCTAAGAGAGCGAATTCAGATATCAGTGTATAAGAATGTCTAGGATGCTTCTGGAAACATGGTTGGGGCTGAAGATGATGGTCTGAGGAAATGGCACAGAGAGTATTTGAGACCTTGATGGTGGAGATCACTGAACATAGTAAAAGCTGTCTTTTTCCCTTCTGATAAAAAGCTATACGTACATCACAAAATACCCACTTTGCTTTTCAATCAATGCTACTGACTGAGGTCCCATTTAATTCATGGATTTTTATTTTAAGTGAACAACATTAAACTCATAACACAAAACTAATACCAGAGTCACACACTCATAGCATCATATTTTTTTAAAGTTGTGTCTGACAACTAGAGAAATTAAAGAGAATATTTTACAAGATGTATAATTTATATTCCATAAATACTTTAAGGGGAAAAGTGGAACACGTGCGGTGATGTAGCAGTTGCATTGGGCAGCGCATTTTCTGATCTTTATCTATTAAACACATGTAGTGCACATGTATATCTTGTGTTTTCATAACCATAACCAAAGGATTGTTTTGAGCAGCTCTTCAATAACTCTAAACTTTCATAAGATTTGTGGATTCTGATCTTCCTTCTCAATACTGCACCAAAAGCACATTTGAAAGTCATCAGAGATTGTAATTAGGTGGCCTGGTCCTCAGTGTACTGTTTGACTACGAGAGAATCCCTGCTGAATTATGAAGAAGTGAGCCTCGGCAGACCCCAGGACACAAACCGTGGGTAGAGAGGCCCCGTCATCTCTGCACTGGAAGGTTTTGGTTCGGCTTCTTTCGACTGGAAAGGAGTCAGTTTATCTACAGTGGAGAAAGTTCGTGATCCCAGTCCACTTAATTAAAGACATTCCACTGCTGTAGCTGCAGCACATTTCCTAGTATACCACTAAGTAAAAATACCAGACTCTGAACTTCCATGTTCAAGAGCTGTATGTTTCCTTTGACCTTAGACTTGGAAGTACAGAGTTGACCTACCCCAAATGGGAGCTCGGTAGAGGTCCCTCAGTATATAGTGAGATATATATATATATATGTACACGTTCAATGTGATCTTAGATTTCCCTGTGTCATTCATTTCTGTGACACTTATTGGTATATAACTAGTGCACAGAAAATGAGTGTAGCATGACCCACTCTACAAGCTAAATCATCGTTCTGACTTAAATTTACGCAGATTTGCACTTTCAATAAACAGCACAGGAAAGCAAGTCCTCCCTAAGCTATATCCTGAGCTTACCTTGATTCCAAGTTTACATTTGGAACACCTTTCCTTAAAAAATAGAAAACAAATATAAATGATGTCATATGATCACAGAAACATACATGGACACTGTTTCACTATTTTCTTATAGTCAGGTGATAGCCAGCCAAGTGACAGTAATGGTTTGCCTCCATCCATGTGCTTTTCTGGACACCTGTTACATTTCTCCTCTGCTCGTCTTCAGCTCCAGCTCCTGAAGAAAGGCTTCATTGTTCTGGGGGCAGTTAGAGTGACAGGTACAGGTTCCAATGACCATCACTGGTTTCTTGATGGTTTGCCCTGGGGAACACTGAAATTCCACCTGGATGGTTTTGGTGTTGTGTGGGGTACAGCACCGGCCATCGCTGCAGACCCCACAGAATCTGGGCTTGTAGGTGTGCAGGCTAGTGCAGTTCTTGAACTGTAGGTGGATGGCTTTCAGGGACTTCTTTGTGCGGAGACACTTTTTACCTTTCTAAGAAAAAAGAGAGAGAGAGAGTGTTGACTGGAAATCCTGCAGTTCTTCTGAAAGACCACTTAAGCAGTCGCCCGCCCAGTATCCTTTGATCTTGCTTCTTTTTAAATGAAGCAGCAATTTTACTTGGACAATGTTGTCAGCTCAAATCAGTAGCTTCCCCAAGGTACCTGGGAATTTGTGATAAAATGTCCAATGACAACATCAGTCTAGTCATTCTGGGTAATCCTCTGCCTTTTGGGCACTTCTTACTGGCCTCTTACATTCATTTTCTTTTCTGCCTAGAATTTGAATATAATGCCAAGTGAAAAGAATCCCCTTTTGTCTTTGAGTCTATGAACAGGAAGAAGAAAGCATCTCCCATTTAAAGACATTGCTTTTATTCAGCAAAATGCATTTTTTGGTGTTACTGAGAAAAGGACCAAAAATGGCATTAGTAAAGCGTATTAATGTTTTGAGGACTTTTCAGGCATTAATTTACTTAATTTAAACAGCATTAATTCACATAATTATGTATACAAGGCACAACTGACCCAATTTTATTTGAAAAAAAATGGAGTCTTAAAGGACTGAAATGATCAGAAAATATCATTTTCAAGTATTGGAATTTGTCTGATGTAAAGCCAATTCCTTCTAATACATTATGACCTTGGAAATTCTAGAACCATAAAATTTAAGACTCTTCCCATGAAACTGAATTGAGTGGAAAGTTTATTCAATATCCCACTAGTTCAGATAATAAAGAAACTGACTCAATTTCATTAAATAAACAAACAACTAACTTTTATTTTGTACTCGACTACAAATTTGCCAGAATTCTCCACTGCAAACTTTCTGGCGGGTGAGGGAGTCTCATGGTATGTAGGGTGATGATTAGGAATCCTTTTATGTCCATGGTTCTCAAACTACCACACACATGAACACACCCTCAGGGCTTTGTTAAAACCTACTCTTGGTCTTTACAGGCAGGGTTCTGGTCTTAGCAGTTGCTGCTGTATCTGGTGTCTACACAAGAAGAGCCTCAGCCATAGACTTTAGAAATCTCAGAAACAAAGAACCTAGTCCTGTATTCCAAAGACATTTCCAGGACCTGTATAAAGTACGCACACCATGTAAAGATCTTAAGCATAGTACTTCCCAGTATAAAGTAAAATGTTAAAGCAAACATCATTCATGTGAAGGAACAATACAAAAGATCAAATTCTAGAAGACTTATAGAAAAAAGCCTTATTTAATAAAGAAGTAACTATGTTCATGAAAATTTTGAAAGGCCTGTTTTTCCTTCTTTGTAGTTAATATTTAGAATATAGTTTTTTCAATAGCTGTTAAAAACCAGAGGTAGCAACATTGCTGTGAATTGTATGTCCTTGCAGGTAAGTGCGTGACAGCTTATGTGGGTGAATGTTCATTGCGAAGCTACCCGTTTCCCAAAGTGTCAGAAGATGCATTTCTAAGGTACAATTTTGGAGAAAAGGTATTTCTAGTTCCTTCTGAATTTACAGAAGGAACATAGAGTTGGGGTAAATCTCTGAAATCATATTGCTGAACAACCTCATAACCGGTGAGATCATGAGGGACTCTTGTCTTAGCAGTAAGGAACATTTCCTGGCTAACATTAAGAGAGTATTTAATCTATGTCTAACAGTTTGTAAATTTGTAAGCTCATTTTGTTTAATCCTTATGACAACCTCAAGATAAATGTTTTCTTTTCTTTTCTTTTGTTTGTTTGTTTCTTTCTTTTTTTTTCCTCTCTCTGTCTTCTTTTTGAGTCAGAGTCTTTCCATATAGCTCTGCCTTTCCTGGAGCTCTCTATGTAGACCAGGCTGGATTCAAACTGAAAGAGCTCCACCTGCCTCTGCCTCCCAAGCACTGGGATTAAAGGTATGTGCCAATATGTCCAGCACGAGATATTTTCAATGGTCCACTCAATGGGGAAAGAATTTAAAATAAACTGCCCAAGATCACACCTAGGTCCTGTTGAAAGGATTTAAAGCCAGGTTGAACTGGTTCTAGTGTTGTCCCCTTAAAGATTATATGATACTGCTTCAGAGTAGAGATACACAGAGCTTGAATTTCTAAAGGTTGTTTTATCTTGGCCTCAGGTTGATAGAAGGCTCTATATAATGGTTAAATCTGATCCAGTTCTGCAACAAGACCTGTTATGTCATCAGGAACCAATTAAGGCTCCTGATCTGCACACTTTATACCTAGAATCAACATATCATGTTGACATAATTCCAACGACAACAACAAAAAAGGTGGTGGGGTGTTTCACTTGGCTCATGTTGCCTTACTCTGGCAAATGTGCTATTTCTACCAGGCTTTTCAAAATATTGTTATGTTGATCATTTCCAAACACACGTTCATGCGTTTACTGACTGGTTTTTAATTATGGACACAATATGTTCTGGGAATCATAGTAGGATCTTCGGACTGCAAGGTGAATAAAGCAGGCAGCCTCTATCCCGGTTCTTCTTATAGCTTGTACCTGATTTCTTAAAACAAACAAACAAACAAACAAAAAACCAAAAAAAAAAAAAAAACCAAAACAAAAAAACAACTAACCTTGCTAAAGCCAGCTCTACCTCACAATCAGAGAGCAATTTTTTTCTCCAAGTATGGGATGTGCTGTATTAGCCCTTCCTCATTTGTTTGTCGAACAGCTGTGGGTCATTTACATATATTAAAAAGAAAGACAGAAAGGACTGATTTTGATTCCGGGTGCTCCACACCCTTCCTTTGTCTAGGTTAATGCCTGGTTAGAGCAGATGTTTTTCAGTCAGCTAGTGTGGCCGTGACTTTCTGGAGGCCAGGCTTCAAGGAGGCGAAGCCACTGCTGTAGAGTAACAGGCCTCCTCTGGACTCCTACCTTGTCAGTTGGTTGCTTGGACTCTTGTTCACAAGGCCGAACCATGCAGAGACGAGTTTGCTTCACCATCTCACACTGGCGGTTCCTGTTGGTGACCCTGGAGGACAAGCCCATTCCGCAGCTTTTGGAGCACGCACTCCACTCTGTGGTCTGCTCGATACAGTTGATACTGGCGTCAGAGACTTCGACCCCTACGGTGGCTTCTGGCCTGTAGGCTGTCGAAGGCATAAATACAGTTATTTGAGTAAAATATGGGCATAAGTAAGTGTCCCTCAGACAACATTAGATGGTGAATTTTAATTTTGTAGCTGATATAGACCAGTTTAGAACTAGGTTTATTTGTAAAGCCCTAGTGGGTAGGCGTGACGTAGGATTGCAAGAAACTTTTATTCAATTGACCATGAGACACTTAGAACAACTTGTTATAAGAAACTTAAATTATATGAACATAGGATCATAAGCTGAATATTCTCAGCGTGTAGTTTGGTACATAAAAAGGTCATGATAAACAATTTGATTTTTGTGTATATGTTTGTGTGTGTGTGTGTGTGTGTGCATGGCCATGTGTTTGCAGGTGTGCATGCCTGCGTATGCACATGTGTTTGGAGGCCATGGATCTACCTTAAATGCTGTTTCTCAGGAGCTCATTCACTGAAATCTGGGGTTCATTGACTAGGTTCGTCTGGTTGGCCAGTGGCCTCAGGCGACCTGCAGATCATTGCCTCCTCAGCATTAGGATTACATACAAGGTGTATTTTTAAAGGGTGTTGGGGACCCAGCTAAGCTCCTGACACCTACACTGCAATCACTTTACTAACAGAGCTATTTCTCCAATGCCAAATCAAAAATCCAGAAAAGAAAAAGGGTTGTTTTTTTTTTTTTTTTTTAAAAAAAACTAAGAGTCAATCAGGAGAGAGCAAGAGAGAGTCAAAGAGTACCCATCCCATAAGGCAAACACTAAACATGAGCGACCGGCTCAGTGGGGCCCATCTAAAAGAGAAGCTGTGTACACATTTCAGCAATCTAGCTCAGAATGAAATCAACGGTGCATGTGATCTCAGTGGGCAACCCGGAATTCACAGTGGAACAGCCATCCCAGAGTCACACTTGCTTTGTGACTGCATTGACCCCCACTCTCTAGCATGTCTGCAGTTTCTCACCTGGAAGGGCCAGGCCTCCCAGTGTCCCCTGCTCATTTGGGCCACAGGTCCACTTTTCGCAGCACTCTCCAGGCACAGCAACTTTTCTTGGAGTTGGGCAGTCAGGACCTGGCAGCAGCACATCCAGCTGGCAGCGGGGCACACAGCCAATCTGCCCATCTCTGCAGGTGCAGTGGTATTGACAGTTGGGTTCAAACTTCTCTCCGCTGCGGTAAATGACCCCATCGAACACACAGTTGTCTCCCTCGAGAACTAGAACATTCAGGAAGAAGGGAAGGCAGAGGGAAGAGGAGAGAGAAAAATGAAAGCACAATTCAACTGGAAAGCTGTGTGCCGTTGGCAGGACATGGTCAGAAGTTGTTCCTTTTCTAGTTCAGATGACTGGCTTCTTATACGTCTCAAGGAGAGAGAGGTGTAAATACTGAAGAATCTGAACACTGTCAATACACATATTTTGGTTAATTGATGGCTTTTAACACAGCTCCACTTCCTTTTGAAATCACCTACCCTGAAATGATTTCATTTCTAAGACAACAAAGACAAGAACAAATAAGGAGGTCACACTTTGGAGACCCTATCTCCAAAGATAAGATCATTTCCCAAGAACCATCTTAGAGTCTTCTACTGCAGTAATTTAGGATTTAAAACCAAATAGCTTTCAGACTGGGAAGGGCATTAAACTTTCTTGGCATTGATGTGCAGTAAGACATCACTAGCTTAGAGAAAAAAGAAAGAAAGAAAAGGCTTAAACTTTCCAGGGAACTGGGGGATGGCCCCGATTATAGCAGTGTAGCTCGTGGGAAATTGATCTCCCATTGATTAATTTTCATGAGCCAGGATTGGCTAGTTGCCTGCATTTTATTTTACTGCAGCCCAGACAGGAGTGACATAGTCCTCCCAAGAGAAGGAATTGCTTTGGCTCAAGTAGGACAATTACAGGTGTGAAAAAAAAAATGTGTTGGGCTGCTGTTGGGGAACCGTAGGGGTGTGAGTAAGCCCATATTCCCATCACCCCAAACGTTCCCCTGAAAATCCAAATAAAGTGATCTCGTTGGCCCTTAACTCTGCTGTCATCCCTTGTCTCTTCTCTAGGCAGCAAGTCATGTACCTGCACTGAGCTCATCTCCTCTCAGCCTGATGTCCGATACACAGTAAGCCCTCCACATAGGTCACTTACGGTACTGTACTATTGCTACAAATGTGTTTTGCTTGGTTCTCGGGGAAAGGGGGAAAGAGAGCAAACAGAGGAAAACAGTTTCACCTAGCTGCCCGAGGAGAGGTGAGGCCAAGGAGGGGACAGCAAGAGGGACAGGATTACCCATGCATATGCCAGTCTGGTTGCTGGGGTCTGCACTGCGGTCACAGTAGAGGCCGCTGCTCTGGTCGCAGGGCTTCAGCTCGGAGCAGCTCTCCCCGCGCTGGCGGGCGCACACCAGACAGCAGGAGCAGCCATCCAGCACCGAGCGCACCCCAGGGGCGCAAGTCGGCGGTGTAGTGGGGCACTGGAGCGGGCACGGGGACTGACAGCGCTGGGCTGCAGAAACCTAGGAAGAGCGGCGGGACAAGAAAAGGATCCCTGGTTATCAGGGACAAACTACGGCAGAGTGAGCCCGGGACGGATCAGGGTCAAGCCAGGAGACCATCCCGGGCATCCTAAGCGTGCGCCACTTACTTGACTTAAGAGATAGAAGAGCAGGAAGCCTTGGCAGAGGCATCGCCTTCGCAGGAAGAAGCTCATGTTCTGCATGCTCTGCATGCTAAGGCTGTCACGGTCTGGAGATGGGGACTGCCCCTTCAACCCAGGTCTGGCTGAGTGGCGAGCGCCACCCGTGCAGGTTTTATAGCGCGCTCCAGGGACGCACAAGCTGGTTGGCTGCGTTGGGAGGAGGTGGGTGGGTGGGGAAATCATCTGGGTGGGGAAGTGGAAGCAGCTCCGCGGTTGCCATGGTGATGGGCCCCAAGGCTGCTCTCCTTAGGGCGTGGCGCCGGGCCTGAGTGTGCCTGTGTGTGGCGATTGGCTTTTCCCTGAGCACCGGGAGGGGCTGGGTGGAGCCGGGAGGCCAAGACCCCAAGCCAGCTACAGCTGGTGGGAAGGAAACGCCCTCTTCCTCGGTGTGTTTGCTTCACCTTCCCCTCGGAGGAAGACCTTGCTACTCCCCAGCACCTTCCGCCCTCAGTGCTCCAAACAGGGCTACAAACACCGAGCTCTTGACCGGGACGTCTGAAGTTTGGGGCCATATGAGCAGGGCAGGGATTGGCCAGAGGCCCAGAGGTTTAGTCATAAGGGAAGCACATGCAAGTTTGTCACCGTTTATTAGGGCACTCTCTGAAATGTGTTAAGGACACACACACACACACACACACACACACACACACACGCGCACACACTGATAAATGAAATAACAAAACACTTCGTCAAGAGTGGGGGGATGCTATTGGCCAAATTCTTTTGATTGTAATCATTTTAAAATTCGCGAAGTCTTAAGACCCAAGTTCTACATGCCCAGTAGAAATAAAAGTAAAACAATGAAATACAAATAAAAGGGGGAGGGGAAAACTTTCCGTGGCAGAGAAGTCTTGAAACACCTGCCATATGGCACCGACTGTAAAACTGCTACCAGGCTACGGTCCTATGACAGCCTCGCTGGGTTGCTCTCACTGCCCGGATGAACTGAAAAGGAGAGAGGAAAGTTCTTGTTTGACTTGACTGAAGAGCACCTCTCCAACCTGTCATTCATTTGCAAAAGGAAAAGATGATCTGCAGCTGTATGTTTGCCCCCTCCTGTGAGAGAGAGAGAGCTGGTTTTATTCTTGCAAAGGTGACCCCATGTGACAGATTTAAAGCAGGCTTTTCCCTCCCTGTATTTCTGTATTCTCAGCAAGAAAAACTATACTCAGCCCCCTTGAGGATAGCTACTTCGGAAAGACACTTCGTAAGCAAAATTATACAGGCCTGTGATATAACTCTAGACTTTACAAGACCCAAAGTGCCTCTACATTGCTGACCTTCAGCAGGAGGGAAACCAATGGTAAAGTGTAGAGTGAACCTCGGTTGTCCCCTCCAGTGCTCCAAGACGGCAAAGTCACTTCCACCTCTTTTGTGTTTTATTTGTTTGTTTGTTTGTTACAGCTTGGAACTTCCCTGACACACTGCCACAACTGATTTTTTTTTGGGGGGGGGCAGGAAACTGCGGCTGAGAAGCACACAAAGTTTACACAGAGATGGGGGAGTTCATTTGCACATCTGATTGGGGGCGTTCATGTGCTTGTCAGGTTAATGTTCTTCATTCGCCACCTGTCTTGGTCATACCTCCCTTCTGGCTGCACAGCGGAGACGATTAGAGTGCGCGTTTTTTCCAAGTTACAGATTCTTGAGCCTGACACTTGACCATCTTCGTGGTGTATCTTGGTGTGGTGAATTCTAATGTGTGATGAGTGGTAAGCTAACTTTGGGGAAACCAAGTAGGAGCAGCGCTGAGGTCCGGCAAACTCTGGGAAAGGGTGAGGAAGGCAAGGAAAATGTAACACCATGAAGGCAAGAAGTGGCAGATTCACTGCTGCTTGGACTCTTGCTGGTGAATGCAAGAAACTAAAGGACGGTTTTAACAGAAGGCTGCTGCGATGTTTCCATAGTAACTGGTTGGGAATAGTGCAACTTGGTCTCAGAGCTTTGAAGACTGTCAAGACCAAGGCTCTTGAATGATGCTCACAGCTTCTCTGTGTTACGGCAACATAAGCCTGTTTCTTCCCTATAAAGCAGTACTTCTCAACCTTCTTAATGCTGCAGCCCTTTAGTACCATTCCTCATGTTGTGGTGACCCTCAGTCATAAAATTATTTTGTTGCTACTTCATAACTGTGATTTTGCTGCTGCTATGAATCATAATGCAAATATCTGATATGAGGGTATCTGATATGTGACCCCGAAGGGGTTGTGACCCCCAGGTTGAGAGCTGCTGCTCTAAAGGGAAGGATGATTCTGCAAAGTCTCTGATTGTTTATGGCCACATCGCTATGGAAGGAACATCGCTTTTCATTAGACTCCTTTGAGAGAAATTGAGGAAAGTGAACACAGAGATTATTCTGGGCTCATCTGAGGAAACAAGAAGGTGAGGTGCAATGGTTCGCTATCACACATGGCTGGAAGAGAAATCATATCAGGTTCCTGAGAAAGAGGGACCATTCTTTAGGAAGAGAGAGAACTTGGCAAACAAACACAGCACCTCTATTCTATGATCTGCTAATACGGTAGGGAGGAATAAAGATCGTCAAGTCAAAACAACTATGTACTGCAGACAAGACTATCTGGCAGTACCCATGTCACATCAGGCTTTTTGTTGTCCTTGGAGCCAGCCTGCATGGCTTGGTGTCTTATATCATTTTATAATTAAGGTTCTGTGAGACTTACACCCACCAGAATGGATGAGATAAAAAACTCAAGTGATAACACATGCTGGAGAGGATGTGGAGAAAGGGGAACCCTCCTCCATTGCTGGTGGGAATGTAAACTTGTACAACCACTTTGGAAATCAATCTGGTGCTTTCTCATACAATTAGGAATAGTGCTGCCTCAAGATCCAGCTATACCATGCCAAGCATTATATCCTAAATATGCTCAAATGTACAAGAACATTTGTTCAACCATGTTTGTAGCAGCTTTATTCATAATAGCCAGAAGCTGGAAACAACTTAGATGTCCCTCAAAGGAGGAATGGATACAGAAATTGTGGTACATTTACACAATGTAATACTACTCAGCTATTAAAAACAAGGAAATCATGAAATTTGCAGGCAAATGGTGGGAACTAGAAAAGATCGTCTTGAGTGAGGTAACCCAGAAGCAGATATAAGTGGATATTAGCCATATAATATAGGATAGACACACTAAAATCCATGCTCCTAAAGAAGCTAAACAACAAGGAAGACCCTAGGAAAGATGTTCAATCCTCATTCAAAAGGACAAATGTGATAGACATTGGAAGCAAGAGAAGACAGAGAACAGGACAGGACAGAAGCCAACCACAGACGGCCTCTGAAAGATGCTGCTGATCGAGGTATCGAAGCAGAGGCTGAGACTCATAGCCAAACTTTGGTCAGAGGGCATGGAATTTCATGAAAGAAGGGGGAAGATAGAAAGATCTGGAGGGGACAGGAGCTCCAAAAGGAGACCAACAGAGCCAAAAACAAAACAAAACAAAACAAAAAAAAAACAACACACAAACAACTCAAAAAAACAAAAAACAAAACTGAGCCATGAGAGCCCTGCAGAGAGTGATACCCCAACCAAGGACCATGCATGGAGAGGACCTAAAACCCTGGCTCAGACGTAGCCCATAGACTGAATCTCCAAGTAGGTTCCTTCCTAAGGGGAGCAGGGTCTGTCTCTGGCATGAACTCAGTGGCTCTTTGATCACCTCCCCCCTGCGGGGTGCAGCCTTGCCAGGCCATAGAGGCAGACAATGCAACCAGTCCTGATGAGACCTGATAGGCTAGGGTCAGATAGAAGGGGAGGAGGACTTCTCATATCAGTGGACTAGGGGAGGGCCATAGGGGGAGAAGAGGGAGGAAGGATGGGATTGGGAGGAGATGAGGGAGGGGGCTGCAGCAGGGATACAAATTGAATAAATTACAATAAATGATAAAAAAACAAGCAAACAGAAAAGGTTTTGTGAGAGTTGAGGTCTCTAGGGAGTCCTCATTGGAAATATTTGCTGAGTTGCTGGCCTAAGCAACCAACCAAAGCAGTATGGAGTCAGAAAGCTGCAATGCTGTTTATTCCCCACCCTCTTCATCTCTTCCTCTTCTCACTTTCCCTCCTTCCATATTTGACACAAGAGGCTCTTGTGTGCATTTTCTGCATCTAATCCAACATCCGGACTTATTAGTCAATTCTTCTACCCTGAATGCACTTGGAGAACTTTCCTTATGTTTTTGTATCTGAGATGCTGCTGCTTTTTCTTTCTCACAATTATGAAAAGTTTCAGAGAACATTGGAGCCTATTTCTAGAGTAGACAACTATACCAAGAGCCCCTGTGTTTACAAATGGAACATGTTAACATCTCCAAGACTCGGTGCCCTCTCTTCTTAGCCTTGTGTTCTCTGTAAACTGACATACTCATTCTTTAATCTAGCCCCATGTGCTTAGCTACCCTCATGGCTCCTCCTTCATAACTGTCATACTCTTTCTGAATTACCTTTACATGTCTCTCTTCTGGGGCCTCAGGGACTTGGTAGCATGCAGAGTAACTCCCATCTCATGTGAAGCAGACCAGTTGCCTTTGATGTCCGGTTTTATGGACTATTTCAATCAAACCCTTATGCCTTTCAGACAGACCCCTTGATTCCTTGTTTTCCCAGGAAAATTCCAGGAAATCTAAAAAATGGAAAAAACCATTTAGGTTCCGATATCCAGCACCCATATAAAAACTAAGAGTTGGGGTATGCTTATGTAAACTCCTGTACCACGGAGATCGAAACAGACAGATCCCAGGAACTCATTGGCCAGCCAGATTGGCCTGCTCAGTGAACTCCAGGCTGAGTGAGAGACCCTGTTTCAAAAACAAAAACAAAAGCAAGGTGAAAAAATGACAGAAGAAAATACCTAATTTTGATCTCTACATGCATATTCATGCATGGACACACATACACACCCCCTTACATTTAATCTTCCCTTCTTTAACAGTATTTAACACTGGAAAAATTAAGACTAAATTTAATGCATTTCTTAAAGAAAAAATTGTCCAGAGATTGAGAAAAGATTATTCAAGTGAAAGTTGCTGGAGGTATGAAAAATAAGTTAAATTTTCTTGTTAGCTAAGGACTTCCTTTTATGGAAATGGTGCCAAATTTAGGTATTCAAA